TTAAAGCGAGGCAGGAACAAGCTCTTACAAGAGTTTAGGAGTAATTAAAGCAAGGGAATGTGCAGAGCATAGCAATCCCTTGTAGCAGATTCCCCCAATAAAAAACAGGAATCCAAATTTAGGGTGAAGTAGGACTGTCTAAAACCTTATTTTACTTGGGACTAGCCCATATGGTCATTACATTAACATTGCTGTGAAAACTCAATAAAATTACAAACAGTCAATTCATAGCAGGCAACATACAGTGACTTATTAAAACATAATTGCATATTTATAAATGGGTGGGGAAGACCATAATTAACACAAAATGTCTCTCCTGCATGCAGAATTAGCGATATGCAAATCTACCCAAATATGCAAATTACCAGTCTTGTAATTCAGGTAGTGCATATTACTGTTGCTACCAACAGAGGGCACTACACAAGCTCCATAGCCAAATCCACCTAGTTGGTAGCAATCCTCAGCAGTACAGGAGAGCAGGCAATACATCCCAGAGGCCACAGTCACATGGCAGGAGGCTGGCAATCAGTCTTCTCCAATGCCCAGTGGCGAGGCTGGTTCCGCCACACCCGACAATGGGCTTCCCCTGAAAAACAACACAATTGATAAACTAATTGTTGCAGTGCTGTACTTTCCAGTTTCATGTGTGCAGTAACCAAGGAAAGGGCTAGGAGCACATCAGTATGCAGACATAGCAACCCAAAATACGTCAAAACAGACTGACTCACAGCCCAAAGGGTAAGTACAGACTAGAAATTTAAATTTAAAAATATATTAAAAAAATATTTGCAATAAATCCCCACGATGTGTAAAAGTTCTCACTAACTCAATATTCGGACGGTAGGTTAAACTATCCAGTTACATTTCTAGTACCTGTGTTTAAAGTCATCCGAATCAGCCAATGTTTTCCGTGTACAGACAACCGAATGAGGAAGACCACGATAAAAACAATGTAAAACAGACAATTTATATTAAATTTAAAAATTCATGATTTATTTTCAGTTTTTCACAGATTGCAGCAATGAGCACAAACATCCGTAGATAATGTCACTGGGTCAGACAACTTTTGTTGGACTACATTAAGAGATGTTTTCTTGCTATGCTTTTGCCTGACGTTATCAACAACAAACAAACGGAGCATCTCCTGATATAGCTTTCTAAAAGATGTTCATTGGTTGCGAAAATAATTTCTTGTGCAGTGCAGGAGAAAGGTATGTTCTGGTTATTGCAGGCTACCGGCCCATGTAATTGGCACAGCCATTCCATGCCCTCACTATTTCTTGTATATTGGTAGTGGCACAGCCCAGAACACAAACAGCACCTCAAAATATAAGGCAGCTTAGAAAATCAATCCAGGTAAACAGAAAGTATAATGCTAATCCTGTAAATAGGGAACATTCTTCCAGAACAAAATAAATCAGCTAAAATGTAGCAGGAGTGTAAGGGCCAGGAGTACTGTATCACTGAACACTGAAACACAGCTCGATGTGCACTCTACAATGATAATGGCCCACCTATAAACAGGATCCCATTGTGCACTCAACAAAATATTAGCAGCATTTTTCACTCATGGATACATAGGAACATTAATTACAACAGCTGATACAATCACAAATTCTCCACAGTTACAAGGCTCAGAGAAACGAGCCAGAGACAGTATGTTTTCAGAAAGGGGATCTAATCATTATAGTGCTTGTCTATGAAATCCTGCTGTCTGAAGAAATTGCTCAGTATAAGATTTGTAGCTAAAGCAAAATTTAGATGGAGACTTTGTAATGTCTGCTAGGAACCCAGTTTAAAAAGAAGAAACATTTACCAGAAACAAAAAAGATACATAAATGGAACAAAATAAAATGGGTAGAATAAAGTGAAATCGAGTAGGGGCCGACCAATATTGATTTATTTTTTTTTGAGCCAATACCGATAATCTGTAAACTTTCAAGCCGATAGCTGATAATTTACCAATACTCTGTACATTTACCGTTTTGAAAAAACAGAAATTCTACACAGATCTGCTGTTAACTGAACATGTTTATTTTTTTATTGCAAAATATACATGCCAGTCAGATATTATTTTTTTCAATATGATTTAGTGGTCCCCTTTCCCTACCCCTCTCATCCCCTCTCTCTCCCCTCCACTCCATTCCCGGTCCCCTAGTCTACCTCTCCCCTCCCTGTCCTTCCTCTCACCCTCTTAGAGTTTCTCTCCCTCCCTCCCTGTCCTTTAGTGTCCCCTCCCACTGCACCCTGGTGTGCCTCTCTTGTAGCGAGTGGAACGGACCACGGTACAGGAGCTTCAGTTTCCTGTACCTGGCAGGACTGACAGGAAATGCTCTCTCAGTGAGCACTTTCCGTCAGTCCGGCTGGGTACAAGTTACGGAAGCTCCTGTACTGCGGTCCGCTCTACTCCGCTTGACTGAGTGACTAGCTGTGCGCTTCCTTCCTGACGGTCACTCTATTCTAACCCCGGGCTGGTGCGTGGCCACCTGATGGATGCACAGGCCCTGCATGCGCTAGGCCACCGCCACCTCTCCCATTATCAGCAATATCAGTATCAATAGTGGCCAATACCGATATTTGTCAAAATCTGGAATATTGGCCGAACCGAAAATTGCTCTATCCCTAAAATCCAGAGTGTGTGTCTAATTATGAGTTGGCACCTATGACATCCAGGCTGGCCTGAGATAAAACGGAAGTAAAATGAAAAGTGCAGGACAGGTGATCAAGAGACGAACATTGATTGAGTGTGTAACAATGATACACGGACATCTATTTTAATTTTAAAATAATTCTGTAGAATGATTTTTATAGACAGTTTCTTTTATTAATTTGATGTTTTCTAGTAAGATTTTTCTCTACAACAGTACTCGCTATTGCAAACCAGTAAGCCAGGGCTGACACTATATCAGTGCAGTTCTTATTTCAGGGCACTTTGCTACACAGTAGCTGTAACAGACTGACTGAGGAGGTATTTGTATGATGCATTGAACGGCTCTTTATAGTCTTTCATCTACTAGTTGTGAATTGCCAGCAATAAATCCCCACACGTCAATATTTACCATGAAACTAGCTTCTCTGAGTCCTGGGGTTTACAGCTTGCACACACAAAGTGAGAACAGGTTCCAATTTGCTATTGCTTGCCAATGATTTGAAAAAAGATTATAGACACACTTTGTTCATTTGAAATTCTGATATTTATGTAAAAAGGACCTCATTATATTCTCTCTTGCCTTATTTCTGATTCTTAATTAGGAGATTGTCAGATAGAATTTAAATTTAGACTATATAAACATTCACCTGCACTTTGCTACGAAAACAAAGGATTTTGAAATATGATATATTCCATCTGATAATGAATTAATTTTGCAAGAAAGTTCCAAATGAACCCAAGAGAATATGGAGGATTGTTAAATTTTAGAAACAATATTTCCATTAAAGACAACAGTAGATAAACATCTTATTTGACTCCAGAACTGGAGGAAGACACATAATAGCACATACAAAAACAAACAATAATAATACATTTTACAAAACATTAGGTTCTACTTAAAGATAAATATGATAACAAAACATTTTCATGACACTGCACCTTTAAATATTACACCCATCTGCAGAGACCTCTCCCATGTCCTCCTAAATCCACCTCACACCGCCAGGTGGGACCAAATCACAGCTTGGTATAAAGCCAACCCATTATACATCAGTTACTGTATATTGTAAGAAGAAAATGAATCATTCCCACACCCCAGTCCAGCTCACTATCCATGTCCAGCTCGCCTTCCTAGACTGTAAGCTACAATGACCACTGAATCTTTCTGCAGACCCTACTATATTCATAGCCTTGCAATTATGACACAAGACAGGATGGGGCTTAAAATGACTACTTTTAAATAGCTAATGCATTTTGCGTTGGCTCATTTTTAAAGTATCAGAATATCTATTGACAGAAGGATGAGCCATCACAAGGGATGCCAATAGAATTCTCAGAGCAGACCCCGATGATGACGTCCATATAACGAGAAATTCCATAGTGACACAGAAAACTAGTTTTAGTGGCCCTCTGTTTACAAGAAAGGTAATAGGGAGGAGTCGGGCAACTATAGGCCAGTAAGCCTTACTTCAGTAGTGGGGAAAGTGATGGAAACCATGTTAAAGGATAGGATTGTTGAACATCTAAAAACACATGGATTTCAAGTTCAGAGACAACATGGGTTTACTTCAGGGAGATCATGCCAAACTAATCTTATTGATTTTTTTTGATTGAGTAACTAAAATTATAGATCAGGGTGGTGCAGTAGAGATTGCTTACCTAGATTTCAGTAAGGCTTTTGACACTGTTGCACATAGAAGGTTTATCAATAAACTGCAATCTTTAAGTTTGGATTTCAATATTGTTGAATGGGTAAGGCATTTGCTGAGTCACAGGCAA